ACAGCTCTACTCTCTGCACAGGCTATGTACAGTGATGTAATTGCAGTGATGTAATTGCTACGTTCACAAGTTAAGATCTGGGTTTGCAAAAGGATATGGTTCACACAGTTGATTTATATTTGTTGTGATCATTGAGAAATATTATTTAAATGCAAATTTCCATGTCTGGAATTCAGCTTCAGGATGGAAATAGTGGAGCTGACTTTGCTGACTGCATGCTGTCATCTCTATCCTTGCCTAACTAAGTAATGAAGTGTAGGGATCATAGGCACATCACGGCCCTGCTTAGTGGGTCATTGACCTGGAACAAGCATGAGCATACCAGATTTGTAGAAACACACATATAATTTTGTCTCTGGCTGTCCTCCAATGTGGTCCAATAGGTTTGAGGACAGCAGGCAGTCAGCCTGGAGACCATTGGTGTTTATGGGGTGGAGGGAAAGGGGGGGGGGGGGGGCAGAAAGGCGACAAATTCAATTTATTGTAACTGTAATGGAACACTGAGCTGAGTCACACCTCCCAGACTGTGAGGGAGGAAGGAATGTCACACAGCATTCCGTATACATACAGATCTGGTTACAGATCAGAAGGTTGAGTCCACCTGATCCTCCATCTTCCAGTGTTTTCTGGAATATACAACCCCTAGGACTGCCTCAGGCTGCCCACACCCGTTGGTTTTATGTCAGTCCACCTGAATTTTTCATCATATGTATTTGTTTTCATGTAAATGTAGTGCTACCCCCGCAGGAGCTGTTGCTACGTTTGGGTCCCCTGCTCTCCCTAGCCCTAGACTAGGCCTCATCCTTGCTGTCACCTCCAGAATAGCTGAGAACTCTGCATACATACAAAGATTGCACACACTGGGGGAGATTTACTAGAACTGGTGCACTCAGAATCTGGTGCAGCTGTGCATGGTAAGTGATAGCCAGGGGCTATCGTACGACGCGTCGGGGAGATTGACTTCAGTAACCAATCAGCTTGTTCAGTTAAGCTTTGGCAATAAAACCTGGAAGCTGATTGGTTTCTATGCAGAGTTGCCCCAGATTTTGCACTCTACAGTTTTAGTAAATAACTTTTACTTCCCTTTAAAAAAGATAAACAGATTGTTTTGGCAGATCAGAATCACAGACATACCAAAGCAGTTTGGTGCATCAAGATCAATGCACATAAACACCACAAAAAACATAACAATGCACCCAACACAGGTACCTCTAGAGTCAAACTCAGCATATACTGCAGTACCAGGAGTGTAAACAGTAGCTCTCCACGTGAGAGATTACACCTCAAGTGACCAAGGAGGATTATAAAGAGATGTAAAAGGCTAAGTCACTTGAGAGCTCTCAAACAAAGGGACTAGGCCTTGAAACCTGAACTCAATAACAACAACAACCCAGTTCTTCCCTCAGGAGTGTAGTGACTTGGACCGTCTTTACGGTGAGCATCCGTGGGCAATGTTGGGGCCCTTTAAAAGGTTGGCGCGCAGAAAGGGTGAAGATAACTCAAAGGTTTGGCGTTAAACTCCTTAGTGACTCCTTAGACTCCTTAGTGCAGCAACTCAGAAAGTGGGGCAAGTTCAAAGGGTTGTTGGAGTATAAAGTAGAGTTCTGGGATAAAGTCAGCATTCTGGGATAGGAATATCTTTAGGCTCTGTATTCGGCATTAAGGGCTACTGCTTGCTTATGGATGCTGCAGCAAATGTGAGAGAACTCTTGTAACAAAAAGAGGCAATGGAGAAGTGGCTTTTTGTCAAGTCTAGAGCAGGGGCGGACTGACCATTTGGAAACTCGGGCAATGCCCAAGGGCCCGGGGTCAGTATGGGGCCCCATGAGATGCCCCTGGTACCTTTTTCATAGGCTTTTTTGAGTTTGGGCAAGGACACAGGGGTCCCATGATCCCCTATTGCCCGGGGCCCCATGAGTTGTCAGTCCGCCCCTGGTCTAGCGTGAATGGAGTGTTAACAGTTCGTTGTAGTTGTAAAGCGGGTCAGAGACCCTCTCACCGGATTCCTCTGCAGTGATCTTCTAATGGCAGCAAGGGGTCCGTGTGGTGGGGGTTCCCCTTAAGCAACAGCATAGCAGACAGCAGCAGATGCATAGGACCTGGAAAGGGATTCTGGATAGTAGATGACCGTGTTCAAATCAGCCTTCTGGTTCCATGTCCAGCACAACAGTCTGCTCTCTTTTCCATCCTGCACTACACAGCTTGGCACAGCTCAGTTTGGCATAGCACAGCTTGGCATAGCACAGCTCTCTCACTCTTACCCGGTTGACACACTTTCCTCAACTGCCCAGCTCCCTCCCAGGCTTTTACTTTTATATACCCCCTGGTGCTTCTGGGCCTTGTAGTCGCGGCCCACGGATGGCTGTAGTTAGGATCCTTCTTCAAGACTACATCTCCCAGACCACTGTAATCCAGTCGTGTTTGGCGAGATCAATTGGCAGTGCCATCTTGTGGGCAAATAATATTCTGCAATTCAGTAACAGTGCCCAATGTTGCATAAATATTTAAAAGTACCTTGAATAACTGCAGTCATCAAATTCTCAATGAAAAAAAAAGAAAAATTTAAGACATTTTCGTCAATTTTAGATTTGATCATAAATGCTGGAAGAAGTGAACTGAAAAAGTACAACCTTCAATATATTGATCACCAAACTCTGTAATACAACATTATCTCATCCACCTGATAGCTTATTTTTCAGCTCAGTGAAATCAGCTAAATAGAATTACACAAGGTAGTGCCGGGACAAGGTCACCTAGCACCCAGGACGAAGATGCCAAACAGAGCCCCCCCCCCCAAAAAAAAAAATGTATGAGCATTATGTTTCAGCAAAAATCCCCTCCCTCTCCCCCCAAACATTCTAACAATAATCTTCACACGTACTCCCTAAGCCTTTGCAAGCCAAAATTATCCCCAAACAAAAATTCCCCATTTCCTATACAAATCCCACCTCCCAGCTCAAATCCTCTCCTTCATCAAATTCCCCCTCCAAGCAGAAATCCTCTACTCCACAAATTTACCCTGTGAGCATAAATCCTCTACCCCCCTCCCTAAGCACAAATCCCCTCTAAATACCTTCTGCTAGCACTTGTCTTCCCCCACAAATTTTCCCTCCTAACATAAATCCCCCCAAATCATTCCTACTAGCACAAATCCTCTCCCCCAAATCTCCTTTCCTAACATAAATCCACCCTCCTAGTACAAATGAACCCCTCTAAATCACTCCTTCTATTGCAACCCCCCAAATCCCCACAGCCCAGGGCAGCCACCCCTCCTGCCCCACCCCTTGTCCCAACCCTGCACAAAGAGATCAGTTTTTTCTTATGCTGCAAAATCGAATGATCCGATAAAAACACATTTCTGCACATGCAGTCTCCAATTCTCATACTTATACTTAATGCTGAACTTTAAATGGAAAAAAATTTAACAAATCATTGAAATATTTTCCCATAAGCTGCAAAGGATATAAATCCACTTTGTGCCCATGAAATGCCATTACAATCCCAGATTTTACCATATAAATGTAGCACTGACATCATCACTGTGTTGTACATAGCCTGTGCAGAGAGCAGAGCTGTAGGAGGGGTCCAGCAGACCCCACCCACTACAGGCTACTGCAGAAAACTACAGGAGGGGGCGGAGACAAGACCAGTCACCCTGTACAAGGAGAGAGAGCAGCAAAGAGCGGTCTTTATTACAGGAAATGTCTCACACTGGATTACTGCACAGATCTGGAGGAAATACACAAAGTATACCGAGATCCAAGGAAGAATACACGACAATGTTTGCTCATCCTGAGGTTCAGATAAAGTCTGACACTAGCCCAATGTTTTTATTAGTTTTGGGTATATATATATATATAATATATATATATAAAAAACTCACCAGCTTGTTGTAATCTGTGAGATCTGCATGTAAATTGATTTTTTTTTATATATATAATCTACTCAGTGTTATGCCTCATTGACAGTCCTATGGGCATTTGATTTGTTTTATGTACTTATTAACCCTTAGTTTACTCTAATCAATCCTAACGAATTACTTCTTCCCCTTCTCCCCGTAGCTATTATTTCCCTGAATTTTTTATCTCTGTTTTTCTGGCCATTACTATTTAAACGTTTAGCCTGGGTTCGCACTGATTCAGCGTTTTCTGTGCAAATCGCACCCTGTTCATGCGAACCACTGCAGGTGTGTATGTTAAGTTAACAACACCTTTAAATTGGTCTGCAAAATGCGGTGCGATGTGCAGAATCAGATTGGATAGGTGTGAATACCCATGTGATCCGATTCTAGTGCGGACCCAAAAAAGGGTCGTGCAGATTTTTGGTGTGGATGCAGTGTGATTTGAGCCATACAAAATGTATGGCTCAAATTGCACCACACAGAATTTGCATGTGATTTGCACAGGAATGCGATGCAGTTGCTGTGTGAATGACATGCTATGTACCGCACCACATTAGTGTGAACCAGGGGCGGACAGACCATTTGGAAACTCGGGCACTGCCCGAGGGCCCGGGGTCAGTAGGGGGCCCCATGAGATGCCCCTGGTACCTTTTTCATAGGCTTTTTTGAGTTTGGGCAAGGATACAGGGGCCCCATGATCCCCTATTGCCTGGGGGCCCCATGAGTTGTCAGTCCACCCCTGGTGTTAATCCAGGCTAAATGTTTTTTTTCATTTTGTTTGGTGCTCCAGAATCATAAATTAGTGATGACAAATGAGAAATTAACAATAATGCTTTTTATTTACACTAATGATAATTAGGAAAAAAATAACAGATCGAAGTAGAGAAAAATGCATTTTTTTTAGGTTTGTTACACTTTTTTTTCTATGGATTGTATAGTAATTTGAAAAAATAATCAGTCAAAAGAATGCCTTGTTTGCCTTTGAATGTTTGAAATTTGCTGAAATCTGAAATGTAACAGATGATACTCTGAATTAGTTTAGAAAGGATGATGTATCATATATACAATTGTGATACAAATGTTTATTTTCTCTTTCCAGGCACAACCCCAAAAAATAACACATTTACCAGTGTGTATGAAACCCCCGTCAACATGCATGTGAAGAAACAGTCGGAGGCCGTTAGTGAGGTCAGTGAATGAATAAAAGGGGGACAATTTAAAGCCTAACTCCACATGTAGTGACTCTTTAAACAGTTCCTTTAGGCCAAGCTGGCCCAAATGAATTTGTCCTAAAAAAGGGTCCTGCGCCTTTTTTGGTGGTGCAATTTGAGCCATACAGAATGCATGTAATGCTGTGCAATTCCTGTGCAAATTACATGCATGTCACCCAGATCTACCAACATCTATATAGTGCAAGGGTCTGCCTGATTGGATGCAAATGAATTGGATAGCTTAGGTAGGTCCCAATTTGAATAGTTTTGGTAGATCTAATAGAGCCATACACACAGGGGCGGACTGACAACTCATGGGGCCCCCGGGCAATAGGGGATCATGGGGCCCCTGTGTCATCGCCCACACCCAAAAAAGCCTATGAAAAAGGTACCAGGGGCATCTCATGGGGCCCCCTACTGACCCCGGGCCCTCGGGCAGTGCCCGAGTTTCCAAATGGTCAGTCCGCCCCTGCATACACACACTTTGATAAATAAATGAATCAAATCATTTTCAGATCGAACTACAGTTGACAACCCATTTGATCGATAATACACACAGGGAAGTGGATTTTGATTGAAAGCTAAGCTATGATCATAAATTATTGATCGCATCTCTGTTCCCATCATGTAATCTCATAATCTGATTGATCGAAATATGATTGTATTCATGAACAAAACTGCTGATTGATTGATGCAAAGGATTGATAATATCCCGCCCTGGCCCACTGACCCAGTTTGAACAAATGTGAAAAAAAATGAGTCGATCAGAAGGGAAGTTATGCCATTTTGAACATTTGCGTATTTGATGGTTTTTATCAAATCACACATCAATCGAATCCAAACATTAACACCTGTGTGGGCACCATATGGCTGACCATACGCTATACAATCTGATTGTACAATCTCCCATCAACTATGTAGTGCAAGAGCCTGCCTGATTGGATACAAATGGAATAAATTGCTTTGGCTTGTCCACACATTACATAGTTTTACACCCCGGTCACACTGGGTGCGACATGGCATGTGACTTGCAAATCATATGCCAAGTCGTGCCCTATCATCAATTACAGTGGTCATATCAGTGCCGTTCCGACTTGGTCGGAGCCGCACCGATTTCTAAAGTAGTACATGCACTACTTTTGGTGCGATTTGCATAGACATCTGTGTCAGATGTCTTGTAAATCACATCTGAAAACGGCATGTCCTCCCGACTTTGAAATCGTGCGACTTCACTGTAAGTTGCACGGTTTTCAAAGTCGCGCTTGATGGGACAGTAGACTTAATAACTTCAAGCCCTGGTTCACACCGGCACGACTTGCGATTTACAAATCACACCTGAAGTTTCATCTAATGTATTTCTATGGCACGGTCTTAATCAGTGCGATTTGAAGTAGCGCGATTTCAAAAATAGTTCCTGCACTACTTTTTTCTGATTTCATTACGACTTGCTTTGACGTCTGTTAAATGAAGTTGCAAGCCACAGCGAATCAGAGGTACAAATCGCACTGATCTGCAGCTTTGAAATCATGCTATTTCACTTGAAGTAGGGCGATTTCAAAGTTGCATTCAGTGTGAACCAGGGCTAAATAAAATTGTACAGAGATTTTGACAATGCAATTTTCACATGATTCTTCGTGTCACATAGGGCCGGCCCAGTTGATTAAATCGGATGCTCTATGCAAGTTAGGCTGCCATACATTATACAATTATCTATTTTTGGGTTTAGATTTACTACCAAAAACCATATAATAGGAGGAAAACCTAAACAACACACTTTCAGTTGTATCCAATTAGGCAGGCCCTTGCACTACATAGTTGAAGTAAATCTAAAGGAAATTGGGCAGAAAATCTGCTGGCCAGCCTTAGTCCCCCAGAAAAACAGCTCTTCCTCCTTTTCAGGCGACAAGTTTCATGTGATTTTTTAAAGGTACGGATTGCCGTGTGATCCTGTTGTGTCATGTTCGTGGCAGAATCGCATTGCGTTTGGGGTGCCAATAGGGATAATGGCAACCAAGCGCGTGCAATGTGGTGTGCTGCAATTGCCATGCAATTTGGAATGCTGGCGATTCTGCAGGTTGCAAAGTGTGAATGCAGCCTTAGCTCTACCAACAACTATATACTATAAAGCCCCGTGTGATTGGACAGAAATGGATGGGATTGTATAGGTTTGGCTCCATATTACATAGTTTTGGTACATTTAAATAAGAATGTACAGAGATTGTACATTCAAATCATAGTGTGTATGGCCACCCTAGGGTTGATTGTTCAAAGACTGTACGGTCTGATCATAACATGTATAGTGATCCTAATAGAGCCCTGTAAAGTAGAAAAAGCCCAACAGGGGTTCTAACCTTAAATATATAAAATAAAGTGAGCGCTCATGTAAAACAGTAAAAGTAAGCAGCTAATAGCACTAAAGGAGTTCACACAACCGCCTTAAGTATAAATAAATAAATAAAGTGCAGCGCTAAAAAAAACAACAAGCAGAAAGTTCGATCTAAAAAGTTCGATCTTTAAAATTCGTTATCAAATGTTCGTTAATTATTCAATACAGTAATAAAGTAGGCACAGCTATGAGGAATCCAGAAGAAATGGCAGAAATGCGCACTCACCGACCGCGCATAGGAAATGTGCATGTGTGTATTAAATTCAGCAGATGTCGTTCTCCCTCAGGAAGGGGTGTCATCAAACGATAGTCTGCTGGACTCACAGGACCTCCTTAAGATCGGGATGGATCAAACGGGTAAAGGCTCCCTCCAGGTGAAAGGCTTCCCTCCTCTGGATGTAGTATGTATTGGAAGCTGTGTCTGCTGACCCCTCGGAATAACTGGACCTCTCCGATCACACCAACGAATGGCGCTCACAATGCTCCGTAGGAGGCGGGGTCAACGCGCACGCACAGCTGCCTCCTTCTCGGCCACCTCCCTCGCAGCTACCAAAGTCTACACTAAGCCTCCGTTCACTCCTGGGCATTTTGAATTGCAATTTCAAAACGCTCTGCTAAGATGACAAATCACGCAACTCGAATTTCAGACGCCATTCAAACCATTTGCCCTCCAGAGGAATTCCTCCCTTCCCGACCAGGCCATTTTTTGCGATATGGCACTGCTTTACTTTAACTGACAATTGCACGGTCATGCAACTCTGCACCCAAATGAAAATTAAGTCCTTTTTTTCCCACAAATGGAGCTTTCTTTCAGTGGTATTTGATCTCCTCTGAGGTTTTAATTTTTGGCGCTATAAACAAAAAAAGACTGACAAACAAAAAAAACCTAAAAACTATTTTTTTTTTTTTTATAAAACATTTCCAGTAAAAAAAATAAATTTGTCATAAATTTAGACCAAAATGTATTCTGCTCCATGTCTTTGATAAAAACAAATCACAATATGTGTAAATTAATTGGTTTTCGTGAAAGTTATAGCGCTTACAAATGGTGGTATACATACTGGATTTTTTTTCTATTATATACTACCGTGTTTCCCCGAAAATAAGACATCCTCCGAAAATAAGACCTACTTACAGGTTTCCTTCTGGGTGAAATATAAGGCATCCCCCCGAAAATAAGGCCCCCCTAGGCTCTGTCTCGGAATGAAAATTAATTTACCGTAAACTGGTTGCTAGGGCCGCCCCGACTGGCGTCTAGCAACCAGTGACGTCACTGCTGTGTGGAGGCGGAGCGGAGGTCGGAGTGAGCGGGAGAGAGATGCGTGTAGAAGAACAGGAGGATCAGAGCGGACGGGACGCGGCGAAGGTGGTGAGTGCTGGTCTGTCTCTGGTGACACCGCCCTCATGATGACTGAAGGTTCTCAGTCAGTGTCAGACCCTGCTCCAGCCCAGGTCTAGGCCCCAGCCAGCCCAGTGACAGTCCCCAGGCAGGCCCCAGGGGGGAAATGTCTGATAAAGGGGTGGGGGGGGGGGATGTCTGGTGAAGGTGTTCAGTGGCACAGGGGTGGGGGGAGGGGGATCACTTAAAATGACACAGGAGGATCAGAGGGGACAATCAAAATGACACAGGAGGGATCAGAGGGGACAATCAAAATGACACAGGAGGATCAGAGGGGACAATCAAAAATGACACAGGAGGATCAGAGGGGGCAATCAAAATGACACAGGAGGATCAGAGGGGACAATCAAAATGACACAGGAGGATCAGATGCGGGGGCAATCAAAATGACACAGGATCAGAGGGGACAATCAAAATGACACAGGAGGATCAGAGGGGGCAATCAAAATGACACAGGAGGATCAGAGGGGGCAATCAAAATGACACAGGAGGATCAGAGGGGGCAATCAAAATGACACAGGAGGATCAAAAGGGGTTACTAAAATGGTAATTTCCTTTATTTTCATTTAACAATAAATGTGTACCGTATTCTTCTTCATGGAAAAATAAGACATCCCCTGAAAATAAGACCTAGTGCCTCTTTGGGAGCAAAAATTAATATAAGACACTGTCTTATTTTCGGGGAAACAGGGTAGTAATGGCAGCAATCAGCAACTTATAGCGAGACTGTGGCGGGCATTCTGACACTGGGGGGGGGGGGGGGGGGAACTGACTAACTGCCACTGACACCCCCAGTGACAACAATACAGTGATCAGTGCTAATAAAAAGCACTGACACTGTACTAAATGGCACTGGGCAGGAAGGGGTTAACATTAGGGGTGATCAAAGGGTTAACTGTGTACTGCTTTACACCATGTGCTGTGTGTGTTTTACTAGGGAAAAATGCTGCTGTGTATTTCTCTGCTGTACAGAGAAATACACAGTAGTATGTTATTGCTTGCAGGATACAGACCTGTGCTGTTGGCTCACAGGTCTCTCCCCTGTCAGTGTTACTTGGTGATCACCTGGTGCCGGCAGGGAAACTCCGGCCGGGGACCCAATGTTTGACATCTGTAGCCGCTAATGGTGGCGCGGGTAGGGTGGCGCGCGCGCGCGTGCCCCCCACCCAAAAATGCAAATCACATATATATA